AAACAGCAATATATTTTATACGTCGACTTGACGAGTACGTCACCGCAAATCGCTCCGCCCACTCATTTTATTGGCTACTTGCAAATTTGTCGAATTTTTATTGATGGGACGCGTCGTCTAATTTTTTACGAAAAATATCTGGAGAATATCGTTTCCCCTCTCACGGATACCCCGTAGCTACAGAACGGACAGACGTACTGTACAGTATCAGGTTTATTATAATGACTTTCTTAGCTTTAAATCAAATGTATTTTTCCGTTTGAGCGATCGTGCGATCCTTACCACTTTTCATCTCGCTAGCTCGTATGTCACTTCTTGCTTTACTCAGACCGCGTGTAAAAAAGTTTTACTTCAATAACTTCTGCCATTTTTGAATTTTATAATTAATGACATTTTTCACAGTTTCTTTTTTGAATAGATTTAGAAGAAGGTGCAGACGCGTTGCAAAATGGCCAAACTTTCTACCAACTTTTATTATTTTCTGTACGTAAGATAAACTCCAAAAAGAAATAAAGTGTAATCATATTTCTGGCGCTCCTCCTGTGAGCTATCTCGATATTCATCTGGGAAACTTCGTTCAACTTCGGCGAATGTTTTTCCGGTAAGGAATTTTCCGACGTTTATCTTGTTGGAAAAATCGTCCCCCATTGTAGCCGTGGGGCAACAAAATAATTCGTCTTGTCGACTCGGTTTTGTTGATATCTCGTTGAAACGTGGCTTGTTTATTTATTTACGTTTTGTTGAGGTACAAAAAGAACTTTGCTAATTAGCAAATCATTACACATTTATTATAATTTTTTCCGATGCACGTGATCAACTTTGAATGACAAGCGATGGCCACAGCGCTGCCAGATTGTGATGGATTTATGAGATGAATCTTAATTTAAAATTGACTAACAACATATTTATTATATTATTTTTTAAAGAATTTTACGTTTTATTTTTAATTTAATAACTAATATTTTAGTGATTAATTGATTTATTTGTTTTATAGCTTATTTTACTTATTACATATTGGCAAAAACTAGTCCATTATGAAGATTATTATAAGCGTTATTATGGTTTATTTTTTTATTGATGAACATCTTATAACGCCATAAGTGGTAATAACAAGTAGTAGGGTGCTATTAATGCACAAACTAATAATCACAAAATTTAATATAAACTAACTTTGAAAGTGATATAATGTGCTTATCAATCAAACTTACTTTTGTGACTGCAGTAAAGAGTAATAAAGGACCTTAATTGTCACGTTCTTGTACAAAATAGTTAAAAAAAAAACAGGGAAGCTACAAGCTCTTTGCTTCGACTGTTTAAATGCTTCGGCATATTTTCAACACACAATTTCAAGAAATACAATACAAAAACTCGAAAATTTAGTTCTTAAAATAACTGTTTGTGCTTAAAAGTGCAATTTTTAAAATAAAGACTATGAAAATAGGCAAAAAACGAGAATTGCTCGCAAAGATTCAATAACAATACTATATTATACAAAATAATGTCTGACACTAGGATAATAATTATTGTCACATAATAAAGGACAACATTGCTGAACACGGGGCAATGTGACCAATATAGCGATAATAAAATTCTGTTTAAACTAATTTTTGCAGCTTTAATGTAAATAAAATATCTGTTACAATCATGTGCTCTATAAAGTAAAATGAAGAGCTGCTCGGTATCTTAAATTATACAACAAATTTAAACATTTTTGCCAAAATTTCATTTATTCAGGACTTATAAAATGACCGTCTGTCTATCTTGTTGTATAGTAATTATGCATAGTCTATAGTATTTAATTAATAAAAATAGTTTTATACGCGTGAATTAAAACACGTCGCATCACGACGTATTTCTAAGCCGTAGGTGGTGTTTTACTCCCAGCCCGCGTCCTTACCAGTTTTCGTTTCGCTAGCTCGTGTGTCACGGCCTTGAATTTTTACTCCCAGCGTGCGTAAATAAGTTTCATTTAAAAAAATTAGGTTCGGTTATAATTTAGTTTTCCCCTTTTATATTAAATGGAAGGAACCGTATAGGGATGGCCGTACTCCATTCGGGTACCTCTATCCACGTACCGAGTTTGGTTCAATCGACCCATAATTAAGAAAAATCCTGATAGGTTCCTCCATTTAGAAGCATCCGTTTGAAACATCGAGGGCGTCCATCTTGTAACTCGTCCTCAATTATGCCGATATTTACCCACATTTTTCTTCAATATCAAATTCTTAATTCCACTCTGATAAAGATGTAAACGAAACATCGTGTCCAACTTTGCAGGGTGGCACCGTGTGCAACGTCGCTCACATACGTCGTTTCTTACGTCAAAACTAACTGTCACAGTAACACGTGTCGTACACGGTTAAGTTGGCCTTGGTCCAATCTATCAACGTGCTAAATTTCGGTTAGTTTGGTTTTTCGTCGGACGATTTTTTCGCCACTTTTCGTTACCACTAGCTCGTGTGTCACGGCCTTGAATTTTTACTTCCAGCGCTCGTAAAGAAGTTTCACTTAAAAAGATATATTCGAAGAATGCAATAACAGTACCGGGAATGGGTCAAGTTAAGTCTTGTTAGAACCATTCTGGCACAAATCTAGTTTTTCTCCTAGTCGCAGTATACATAGATTAATTGCATGCTGAAATCATAACTGCAGAGAATATACACTAACGGGGCAGTCGGTTCTTTCAAATGGATCTTTCAAAAGAATAACAATTGGCAATTTGCTTTAGTTGTATGTTCATTCATAAATATTTATCTGCCTTTATTATGGATTTGATTTTTGTGTTGTGTAATAAAATAAAGTTTTATTGATAAACGGGAAATGGGAAAACTCAAGTTTGGGTATTGAGAAAACTTTACGAGTTCAGCTTTTATTGGAAGTTTGTAGTGTGAAAAGAGATTGGCGTTTATTTTTATTCGTCGTTTTTATAAATGATCTGAAGATTTTATCGGAATTAATTTATTTTATTACAAAAAGAGAAACTATACTGGTACATTCAATGTATTCTACCGGGTGCGACTCAAAAGTAGCTTACCCCTATAAATTTTGTATTTTTTTAGATAATAAAACGAGATTTGGTATGTTATTATATGACATAAATTAGAATTGATTGACGTTTTCAATTGTTTTGGGTCACTTCCTGTTTCACCGGAAATGACTACAACTTTTGATTTTTAAATGACGCCCTTGTTTTTTATTTCATTTGATAGAAAATGACATTCTGAATAGAATGGCATAGCATATGTGAACTTTTAACATTTTCAATTAAAAAAATAGCATTTTAAATATTAATTTAGAGTGTCATGCCATAAATGTAACGAAAATTTGACTCGAAATACCAAGCGTGTGGTAGCAAATTATTTGTAAAAAAATCTTTTTCCAAATATGCTAATGAGCCATCCTCTTTCCATTTGAAAAAAATTGTGATGCGATTAAAAAATAGAATTTGGGCATCTTTTAAACTGCGCGGCCAGACGACACGAAAAACATTAGACGATCAAATCTATTTTTCCCAGGCTCCTTGATTAACAATTTACCTCACCAATCCAAATCATCATTGTCTCTGTGATTTTCTATCTTTCAAATTAACAAAAAAAATGTCAATTTTGACAATTTTTTTCAGATTTGAGAAGTACCGTATGATCGAAAAAAACGGCGTCCAGTTGGCTTGGAAATGACAATCGATAACATTTCCCATATAAATTTACATATAAAATGACAGCGATCTTCATTTCATAGCCATCGCTGACGCCGTTTTTATTCGATCATACGGTATAAGGTACTTATATTGGTATTTTATTTAATGGTTGTAGAGAAATTCAAGGTGTGTCTTAAATAAGTGCAAATATTTTCAGGGCTGGTAGATCTCGATAAAAGAAACATACAGTATGTGTCTCCGGATTGCCTTTACAAGAAGAAAAACTTTTTTATTATTGACATTTTGAGAAAAATGCATTCTTCATAAAAAAATTTGTTTCGTTAATCCCATTTATAATTTTTCAAATTTCCATACCGTTTTAGAAAGAAATTAAGAAAAATATGAAAATATTGTTGAATTTTTCTCCTAAAAATTAAAACGCGTTTCTATGGTAATATAATTTCGATTTCATTATTTGATGGATTATTATTAACAGAATTTTAATTACCGTAATATATTTGCTATTTTAAAATGTTAAAGAAGCACAAAATTTGTTTACTTCAATGCTGCGGAAAGGGTGGTAATAGTTATCGGAAAATTTGGTACTTTACAACATCAAAAAATATGACGTTAATCAAAATTAATTATAACCATCTATGATAGAATGAAATCGAAATCATATTACCATAGAAACGCCTTTTAATTTTTAGGAATTTTCTCTAAAACGGTATGGAAATTTAGAAAAGTATAAACGGTATTAACCATTTTAGAACAAGCGAAATTTTTATGAAGGATGCATTTTCCTCGAAGTGTCAGTAATAAAAAAGTTTTTCTTCTTGTAAAGACAATCCGGGGACATACTGTATTTTCTCTTTACCGTTTTCCAAATAAGACCAAAATAACCGAGTTATTTTACTTTGAAATTTTAAAAAAATGATTTTTTGCTACTACATATTTTATTATAGTTAATCACTGTTTAGCCTTTAAACAAAGTTTATACAAACGGTGCAAGTGGGCATAAAAATGTTTTTAATTACTAGTCAAAATTTGACAGAAAAAAAAATCATCGATTATCATTGCCCAGCCATCTTTATAGCCTTTTTTTCGATCATACGGTTTTACTAACGCCAATAAAAAGAAACATCAGATTAAACTTTTTACACAACCAATTTTCCGAACAAATGAGAAATCCTAATTTTGTTTTCATATCGCGTCCTTTCACGAGACTCTCCTAAAGAAACAGTCCCGAAAAAACATTAATTTAACGACAAGCTATTTGACAGCGCAGCGGGGCTACGTCCCGACCCGCCCAATAAATCGCACGACGCCGCAGCTTTTTCAAACTGTTTGTTTTCCTTTCCAGATGGATCTCAGTCCGACAGCGACATGGACGGGCAATTAAGAGAAAATGAGGAGAAGGAAAAGACTGACCAAAGTCAACAGACGACACCCACGACGCCTCCCAACTCTGGTAAATACTGATATGATTTATTTTTTCTTCTTTCTTGGTTTCCTGTTTTTCTAGAGTATATACAGGGTGTTTCAAAAAACATGTGCCATCTCTCGTGGGACGATTCCTCACGTAAAAATAAGATTGATTTTTCATATCAACATAGGTCCGATTCTGCTTTGTTTCATAGCTACAGGGTGTTAAAGTCTTAATATTTTTTCGATTTATTATAATTTTCTTCCAAGAACTTTTAGCGTTTCGGATGAAATTTTGAGGGTAAAAGTTACTAAGCTAAAAAAGTGTTGACATAGTGTTGACATAGTGTTGACATATTCACCAGTGACGTGCATATGGGTTATCACTGGAATATTATTTTAAAAAAGGAATGTACGCCACTGACTATTTTCTTTTGTTAGCGAAATAGTGTAAGCAGTTTAATGCCGATTAAAAGCTGCCTCTTGATATTTTATCGACTTCGGCCTCCTTTGTGAGATAAATGCAATTTTATTAATTTGCCTTGATCCAAGTCTAATTTCAACTTAAAAATAATAATATCATTAACTTGGAAAAGTTTTAAATTAGTATTCATTGAGTCCTCATCAAACAATATGAAAAAAAGTTCCTATAAACATGGGTATGAAAATGCATAGTTTTAGAGTTACACGATGTTAAAACTTTTTAAAATTAGGTATTTTGTAATTATCTTAAATACCATTATTTCTTTATTTGAAATTGCTGTACGATGGACCAATAGTAATAGTAACTAACAGTAATAATATTTAATTATAAATTAGGTAAAATATATTATATAATATAATATTTTAATTTTATTTATTTTGATTAATAATGGCGCACATGTTTTTTTTTGAAAAATATTCCAGTGAGAGCCCATATGCACGTCCCTGATGAATTTATCGACACTTTTTTAGCATTAAAATATGTAGCACTTATAATAACTTTCACCCTCAAAATCTCATTCGAATCACTAAAAGTACTTTCGTACTAAAATACTACTAAAAGTACTAAAAGAAAATTATAATAAATCGAAAGATTATTAAAACTTTAACACCTTGTAGCTATGAAACAAAGCAGAATCGGACCTACGTTGATATGAAAAATAAATCTTATTTTTACGTGAGGAATCTCCTCAAGAGAGATTTTTTGAAACACCCTGTATACGTTTATTTCCGTATTTTAAAATTACTTAAATTTTTCAATACACTGTATAAAGTGTACTTGTCTTTGTCGAAGCTGAAGGGGGGGGGGGGTTATTTACTTTGGATATAAATGCAAAAAAATTAAATGCAAAAGGACTAAAATTTCAGAGGATGGCAGCAAAAAAATCAACTTGGGAAATAACGGACACCTTAATATACATACATTAATCTTGTGTAACCTGCTAGACATTTGAACTCAAATATTTTTTATTATAGTGGCATATAAAAACAAACTAAATAAAAATAAAAAATGTATTTTGTAATTTTTGATAAAAGCTGGATCTAAATTCCTTTCATTTAGAATTTCCAAGCATAAACATATATATTTCACAAACTCTGCATTTTGGCATTTACCTTATTGGGGAACTAGGCCAAGAATTTCTGTTAAATATTTATGACGGAAGTATGGCCGAATTCTAAATAAATAAAAAGGCCGTAGAAAGTTTGATCTAAATTCTATGCTTAACAAAAGCTACCCTAAAGCTTTCTGTCCCCAACTCCCCATTCACAGGAATTTATAAAGAAACACGAAACTGCACATTTACCAATAAGTCATATATTTTTTCTGCGTTATTATTGTGTTAGCGAAATTTTCTGTTTTCCAATTGAATAATGGTTTCGCAGCCACTAGGAAACAATAAAATTACTTTTCCAGCAGCTTTAAGCGGCAATGGTGTCAAAAGTTGCAGGAAACAATTTAGATTGAATACTGTTTCAACTACTCAACGTTCCAGCGCAGCGCTGCGAAAGTAAAAAGTTTAGTAGAAATCTTTTACGTAAAATCTTTTTCCGAGTTGTAAAACTTGTCAATTCCTTCGACGACAAACAAAATAATAAAAACTGTCTAGAAAAGTGCACCAAACACACGTAGAATTTTATATAATGGGAACTAGCTTCGAACGACTTTTATGTGCTTTGTTCTATTTTTGCCAAAATTACATCGATAACAGGTCGTGATATTTGTATCAAAACTGAGCTAAAATTCCAACTTTGTTGTTACGAATTTTATACAGCACTTTTGGAGACATATTGGATAAAGTTTATATTAAGTTTCTCTGAAATTGTTATTCTTGATAAATATCTCTGAGTTCCAGCAATCTACAAATATACCGGGTGCGTCTCAAAAGTGGCTCACACCTTTTTTAATTTTTCAGGAATTTAAATTTATTAAAGGGTATAGCCGGATTAATATAGGAGATCTGCCCCCGCGGCTTTTTTGAATCGCACTCAAGGGATCGATTTGGTGTCGAATCAAAACAATTCACCTACATTTTTAGCTTTTTAACTCAAACGATTTTCGAGATTTTCAAAAAAACCTGTTTTTTCAATTTTATTTTTATTTTTGTAGTATAATTAAAAATTAATTAATGATGATTTTTTTCTAATTCTTAGAAGTCTAAGACAAAAATAATATGATCATGATTCTTAAACAAAAAGCCGATTTTTAGCCGAGAAAAGAAAATTAAAATCTTCGTTTTTTCAGTCAAGAAAAAAACCAAACGTACTTTCATATTTTTGCTAAAGGAGTATGGAAATTTGGAAAAGTATAAACAGGGAGCATTTTACTTAAAATGTTAATAACAAACTAGAAAAAACGTTTTTCTTCTCATAAAGACGATCAGGGGTCATACTGTATACTGCTGTTGTTAAAAAAATTTAAATTCAGAGAACATTACTGAAATTTTATATATTTTTTAATTTAATATCGATTTTTAAAGACTTGCGAATTCAAATGCGAATATTAATTTATTGTATAAAAAAAACAAAATATTACAGATGTTATAATTTTGAAAAAGATATGCAAATTTTTGTTACGTCATTAATTAATATGTTATTATGACTATTGTTTTCTTCAGTTTTGTTATTATTTATTTATTTCAAGTTTTCGTATTACCATTATTACTTCTAGTTTATAAATTAGTTATTAAATTGATTAATTTGTTACTAATAATGAACAATATATCCAGATATTTTTTTTTCTTTTAAGTTTTGTGATATATCGTATAGTAATATAGTTAAAAAAAACAAACCAAACCATTTATTTTTAAAAATCCCGACATTTTCAGGGAATAAAAAATGTAAAAAAGAGTAAACTGTGACATATTCTATCTCTCTCTAAATCACTTTTATTCGAGGTTTAACAGAAAATAAAATTCTCGAACAACGAAAATGCGAATTTTTAAACTTTTCCAGCGGAAAATTGCAGGATTATAGTTCTCGAGAATTTCTAAAAAATATTGCCGTATTTTAAAAGGATTTTATTTCAATTAATATAACACGCTACAAGTTCTATAAGCGAGAGCTGCTTGAAAATTACAGTGACGCTATAAAAATGGTGGAGGGCTAAAGAAATTTTTCGGAAGCCATATTTCTAAAGTTTATATTAACCGTAGATTTTCTCAATATCCAGAAAAGTGGAAATAAGATAAAATGAACTTTATTTAGGATTTTATTAAAGCCAAATTACCAGTTTAGTCCATTTTTAAAACTTGACTAACATAGGAAATTATTTATATTTGAGTGATATATTTAGGAATATTTATTTATCAATAAAAGGCCTCGTCGGACGACCTTTAGTGGTACATTATGCTAATATTGAAGCTTAAAATTAAGCAGGATTAAATTGTACATAATATTTAATTATATTCAACTTTAGATTCGATAAAATATTGTTGTAAGATATTTTTTGTAACAATATATTGACCACACAGAATGTATTACGAGTAGAAAAAATATTGTGCTGGGTTGGCGTTGGTTTCTATGTAATTTGACAAATAAATAAAGCTGTCTCTTTAGTTGTCAGTTTTTAGTCAATATTTTTTTTCAATATAATATATATAATTCTTTCTTTCTTTCTTTCTTTCTTTCATTTAAATCCCGAATAACTTATGAAAAGGAATACAAACATTTTCAAAAATAGAAACAATATATAAAACGTGCGAGAAGAAATGAAGTTTTTAACCTATCCTCGCTGTTAAAGTATCATTTAATCTACCCTTCCGCTTAAAGTACTATTTTATCTACTATTTTTGATAGATATAAAGCAATTTTAACAGTTACTATGGAAAAAAAATATATATAAATTAAATTTACCCTATTTGTTAGATTTTCACCTGCCGTGTCTGTTCTTGTACATATCAGCAGCAAGCAGTCATTATCACACAAACATGCAGTATTGCCACCAGATAATTTTTGATTGTGCAGCACTTGACCATAAAAATGTGTAGCATTGTGCACCCATGCATAATCAATAACTGTAAACTATCCAATAAGACGTACGATCGCCAAATTTTAAAGCACGATTTTTTCATTGCAGTTCTGAATTTCACTAAAAAATAAAATTGAACACACGCTATAAATCTAGTTTTGTACCAGTTGATACGATTAAGTGGAGTATTGCTTCTAAGGGAACGGCAATTTAATCTTCCAAATCGTTATCAGGTGCTGTGCGCCAAAGTAGGTATTTAAGAAGTTAAGATGGATTTTACTTCGTATCTATTTTATTCGAACTGTACGCACTAGTAAACATTTTCAATATTACTGTACGATCAAAGCAAGTACGTATCTGCATAGCAATTTATTTTCTTCACTTATTTTATTTTATCTTTTTACCACTATTTTTTCTTGCTATTTTCGTTTAAATGTCAAATACGAAAAGATGCATTCTGTGCTATACAACAAATAGATTAATTAATTTTTTGACCGTTTTATGCTCAGGTTTAATTATAGTGTTTAAAAAAAATACAGATAGAGGTACACTTTATTAAAAATTACATTATATAAATTAAAATATTTCAATGACTT